ATCTAAAGGTTAAACCGTTACATCTGATCATTTCGTATTTCAACATACTCATACTTACTTCAAAAGTAGATAACAAGACAATCCCTCGCTCTGCAACCCAATCAATAACAATCTCGGTCTCCTTAGGATTTTCTTACCTAAAACGGAGGTTTATGTTTATCTCCTATCCACGCACCGCTCGCTTTTAGATGATAGCACAGCAGCTTTGTTTCGATTCCCATGAAAAAGTCACGTAAACACGTGACGATCAGCGATCAGTTCTAGGAATAGAAACAATAGATGACATCATGGCCAAGTACGTCCACGTAACGAGGTGTAATCAGTTTACTAGCATAGTCAATAGTGATTTTCCACATAGAATTTCAATACGAAATTGAAGTGATTTACGCCAAAGAAGAGATAGTGTTTATAGTGTTAGACATTTGTAACGTGCCAAAGCAAATCAAAACCGTGACTGAGCTGCGAGGCAGACACGCGTGATGGTCAAACGAGCTGCCATCTAACTTTACTAGTATAAAAGTTTACAATAAGGCCGCTCCAGCTCAGAAGACTATATTTAACGTAAGGTGAACTGTTCTTGAATGAGATGAATCGCCTCTGGTAAACTTTTTACACATAGGGCAGACACAGAATAGTATTCCTTTGGGACATTTTCTCCAATTTTCACTGAAGCACTAAATTGCGTGACTACATTAAAAGGTCATCGTAGGACGCCAAGCCATGGCAAGTGTGAATGAGCTTTATTAATAAAACAACAAACAAGTCTGTTTAGAATTACTATAACCCCCCTCCCTCCCCCCCCCCACCTTCCCCCTCCCCGCTCCCCGCCTTGGTTAGCGCGAAGAGCTGGTGAAATAAAATCAGACAGCGATATGTCGAATGTCTCCTGTCTGCAGGTCAAATAAACGTGTAATAACAACGTTATGTCTGGAAAGTTAGGTCGTGATTTCGGCTGTACAGGCTGAAAGGATTTCTCGGCTTTCTCGGGTTTTGGTTGCAGAAAGAGTCTTTCGATTCTGGTTAGTACATCAAGTCTGTCAAGTTTGCTAATCCTAGCTAATCCTGGTTTGNTTTTTTTTTTTTTTTTTTTTTTTGCCTGAGAAGTTAAATTTTGGATCGAACTTTTCAATCCGGTCAGGATCTCAAATTATTTTTTTCTCAAGCATCTGAACGGGCCGGATTCCTAAATCCTCGAATTTGATTGGCTAATCATACGCACGTGACCGGTCCAGCTATTTACGATACGGCCCACGGACCAGAATTTTTCCTTCGCTGCCTAAATTTAGTTCCTGAAAGTTGGCGGTAATCGTCAGTCTTTTGCCTTCTCTACTCGTCCATCGGCGATTAGTCAACGCAAGTTTATCTCTGTTCACTTTAAA